GAGGTCTACAGATGGAAAGGCAGATAAGCAGATTCAGATACCAATGTTTGCCTGAATAATTGTAAATAAAGTTGGTTAAGTGTGCTTAGTTAATATGTGCTATGCAAATTGATTGTCTCTGTGTTGCCTTCTGCTAAAAAAATACATTCTTTTAATGTGGGCAGATGGAGAGAATGGAATATGAGTAGGAAGATTGATTATTGCTAGGAATTGGAAAACAGTGTTTAATTTCCAGTTAAATGATTGATACAGAGATGTTTCGAACATAACTATTAATGTTACATTAAGAGGAAAGTAATAGGCAAAGATGAATTCATACATATATTGGGGAATATGAGTATTGGTAGAGGCAAAGCTCGTTACCAGAGTCAATATAATTCTGGAAGGAGATGGAGCTGCACAAGAGTAGACTATATAGGTTGCTGTTCCCAAATGGTTCCAGTGGGAGAGAGCTATACTGTGCTACACAAAACATGTTTTCATGCAGTATTCTCATAAACTACAGTAATGGGATCGAAACATGCAGTAGCAAACAGAATGAGTAACGATCCTGTATTCAACATGGTATTAGTCATTATGTTATACAAGTATGTTACACAAATGTGTCAGCTCTGTTAAAGCTGCAGAAGCTAATCTGGATTTTCTCAATACCAGCACACATAAACCGTGCCCAACTTCTTGAAAATACTCCACAGCTAAAACTATGGCGACTGCCAGCTTTTCACACTTTGCCAACTCCAGTCTGGAGAGTACTGGACAATATGGTTACCCTCCCCGAGCAGCATAAATAGTTAAATATTCCCCATACTCCGGGTGCTTAGAGAGTCTGAAAAGGGGGGGGAAAACCCGAAGTGGAAAAATAGTCTAAATGTTACATTTAAATTATATTCCATTTTCTTAAAATAAATGTTGGTATTTGTGGGGAAAGAATCAGCAATTTACAGGAGCTTATTTCATCTTCTCTGAGCAAAAATTGAAGAGCAAAACAGGCTTGAATTAGAGATAGTTTTGAAAATACATAAAAGACTGTGTGAAGATTCCAGAAGGTGTGTATGTAGAGCCTAAAGGTGAGGATTTGGGAGGGCGGGGGGAGTAGCAAAACTGTTGGAATTATCATGAAGGCAAATAATTTTATCTCGAAATGGAATTGGCTTTTCAATTTGTCTGCTGTTTAGATTAAACATTTACAGTACAATCTTTTGTAAAGCTAGTGTGATGTTCTGGGATGATGATGATGATAGATGGTTTAATAATGGATGTTTCTGCCTTGCATAGTACTTTCAGACTGGCTCAGTGGAGTAGGATGTAATTGTCCCCCTTAGGTTCAAAAATCATCTTAGCCTGTTACAAAAGTGCCATTGGGTCACACTACAAAAAATCATCTCCTGAAAAAAATAAAAACACTGATCTGGAATTTGCGCATGTATGTCTCACTTTCATAGAAAATTGATTAAAAGGGAGAGAGAGTCAAACAACATATGTTCCTGCCTTTGTCAGCTGCAGATCTCCCTCGTCTTGAAGGTGCTTTGCAAGTAAGAAACAGCTGTTGGATTAAAATTGCATTCAGCTGCATTGCAATATTTTAGTTTGCACAACTAGAGCCATGCATGTCAGAATGTTTTACTGTTAGATTTGTCCTCATTTCCCCCCACCCCCAGTCATTCTTAGAGCCAAACATTGCACAAGTCTCCCCAACAAGATGTGCTAGCTCAAACATCTTAATTTATGTTAGAGATGGGGATATTCTCATTTGTAAATAAATATGAATATCCCTGTCCCAGCTAATGCAGGTCCGTCCCCACTCCCGCCACCCGGAACTGGCCCATCCACTCATGCATCCCAGTGCTATCATCCCTCTCTTCCCACCATTTGTGGAACTAGCTCTTCCATCTCCCTCCTCGGCTGGCCACTCCAGGCAGGGGTGGGAGGACGAGTCTCCCCACAAGGCTGATGAATGGCCATCCAAGAAGGGAGATGGAGGAGCTACTTCCACTGGCGGTGCCAGGACGCAGGAGTGGACGGGCTGGTTCCAGGGGCCAGACCCGCATTAGTTGCTGCTGAGAGGGGGATATTTGTATTCATTTATGAATATGAATATCCCCTTCTTAATTTATACTTAAGCAAAATGGTTACTCGAAATCCTCACTGCTCCTTATGACCGAAGGAAGAGAAGACTAGCAATGTTTACAGATGTAACAGAGCACAACTTGCTTTCATGTTCTTGTAATATGCAAACAGCAATTCCTGTTGCCCCTCTAATTGTACTTCACATGGATGTCTTAAGGCTGCAATATACATCTTTAACAAGATATGGATTTATGGCTTTGTTTACCTACAAATCAGATAGGAGTTTAGTGAATGTGCTTCTTCCAGATTCCTGGTGAGAAGGCATGGACATAAATCTTTCAGCTTCTACAGATTTTATGAAGCAAACATTCCTCTGGTAGACAGTTGAAGCGTTAAAAGTGTCTGCTAGCAGTGTGTGGTTACAGACAGTTGTCTAATATTGTGTGCTGTGTAAATCAATATTCTGATTTTTTTTCCATCTAGGATCTTATTACCTCTAGATTAGATATACTGACAATAATGTTACTGACACAGCAGGCAGTGACATGGGGAAAAATTATTTGCTGTAAGGTTAGTTGTTGAATTAAACATACATATAGTTAGTGTTGTTTATCCCACAACACGTAACATTTTATACTTGTTGTACAGAGATAACAAAAGAAAGACAGGCCCTGCCTGAAGGTCCACTACATAATTGAAAGGATGCAAATGGGAAGGCATATAAGCAGATTCAATACCGGCATTAGCCTGAATAATTGTAAACAAAGTTAGTTAAATGTGCTTAAATGTGGTACCGAAACTGCTGGTCTTTAACCCTGTTATGTTTTATTGCCTTCTGCTGAGAAAATACACTGTTCTAATGTGGGCAGGTGGAGAGAATAGAATATATAGGTGCAGAGGTACTAACATGTTCCCTCCAAAATAAGACAGGGTCTTATATTAATTTTTGCTCCAAAAAATGCATTAGGGTTTATTTTCAGGGGATAGTGTTTTTTTTATGTACAACTGTAGTGAACAGCCCTGACCTCACCTGCCCGTCACTGCGGAACATTGACGCAGGAGCCAATGAGAGAACGGAAGGCGGAGCCAGGGGGAGGAGGGAAAGAAAAAAAAGACCGATGGGGAGAGTCTTGAGGGCGACTGTGTGTGGCTTGAAAGGAGTCAAGTGTGAGTTAGAGAACTGAAAGCGTGGAGATTGAAACAGAGGGTTAAAAGAATTAAGAAAAAGTATTCGAATAGATTCAATGAAAGTGATTTGCATCCTTTAATTTATTCTACCAGTCCTTACTGATTATAATAATAATAATTTATTGTCATTGTAAGTATATACACATACAACGAAATTCACAAATTATCATTTCCCCTCTTAAATAAATGGTTTGCGTTTTGGCATCACACGTGTCCTGGCATTGCATTGATATTAAAATATTAACATCTGGTGGCAGCAAAGAGAAAGGAATGGCGAGAACCTTGTGAAGACCAGAGAAATAGGGACTTCAAAGGCGATTGCGACAACAACAATCTACATTTATTCACATGCAACCATGTCATCTCCTTCTGGTTGCTGCACAATAGTGGAGGGCGGGGTTTCACTTAACCGGGGCTTATTTTTGGGGTGGGGCTTATATTACAAGCATCCTGAAAAATCATACTAGATCTTATTTTCAGGTTAGGTTTTATTTTCGGGGGGGGGAAGGGTACAAATAGTGAAAAGGGTGACAATTCCCTGGACCTGCAGACATACACACAATCTAGTAGCTTGATACTTCTAGTGAGGGTGGTTGTGATGGAGAAAGGTGAAGGCAAAGATGCTCTGTGCTTCATTAATTGATTTTTCATGTTGCAGGAGGGATGGTGAGCTACTATTTGTTTTCTATATGCTTGTTTGTTTGTTTATTCATTCAATTTGTATCCTGCTCCTATTAGTGTCACAGCAGCAACTCATAAAACAGGAAACAAAGATAAAAACAGAGATATTAAAACTAATAGCAAGAACCCTAAAAAAACAAAACAAAACAAAAACAGATGGTACCAACTAATCCCAGAGCAGATGGATGAAAAGAGGGGAGAGAAGTAGAGGAGGGGAAAGAAAGAGGGGAGAAGATAATCAGCTGGAGTCAGTGTGGAAAGCCTCCCTGAAAAGCAATGCCTTTAATTGTTTCCTAAAAGTCCACAGGGAGAGGGCTAGGCGGAGCTTTTCCTGAAGTTGGTTCCATAAATTTGAAGCCACTGCTAAGAAGGCCCTCCCTCTTGTAGAGGATTTATGGGGGCCCCTCGGGGTGGCCACCCGGAGGACCCTTTACTGGGATCATCTTCTGGGTTGGGTAGATGACATTAAGGAGAGGGGCTCTGAAAAGTAATATGGGCCCAAACCATGGAGGTTTTTGTATGTGAGTGTCAAAACCTTGAACCTGAACAGGAATGCCACAGGTACGCAGTGGAGGCGAGCCAGAACTGGAGCAATGTGGTCAAATTTACTTCACCAATCACCAGTCTGACTGTTGCATTTTGGCCCTGCTGAAGTTTCCAGATTGGGTTCAAGATAGGAGCCGTACATAGAGGGCATTGCAGTAGTTGATCCAGGAGATGACCAAAGTCCTGAGGGAGTCCTCGTCTGTAGGGGCAAAGTTGGGCGATTAACCTAAGCTGGTTGAAGGCTGATCTGGACACGGCTGCAATCTGGGACGCCCAAGAAAGATCTGATTTGAGAAGAATGCCAAATTATGCACTTGGTCCCTAAACTGGAGGGGAATACCATCCAGTCTAGTGTACAACAAAGTGGATTTCTAAGGAGGGCAGATAGGCTTAAGCTGGATATGTCATTAATGAGAGTTTATTTCAACTTCTAATGCTGTAGGCTTCTTGTGCCATATTATAAGAGTGTTACTGCTACCAGCCACCAATCTACTTAATAATTTTGTTTCTTTTAATAGATGATATGGGAGAGTTGCTCCTTGGAGAATCCAAGCTAGAAATTTTTCTGAAGGAAAACCCTTTAAAACAAGGTGCTAGTCCCTGTGGTCCTCGGCCAAAGTTGATTGAAGTCAAGAAGCATCTCACTGCAGCTCTTGATCGAGGGAATTTAAAGGTACTTGCTACACCTAGAACAGTAACTGGAAATCAATGATAGAATTTGAAAAAAAATGCCAAATGTGCAAAGATTTATGTTATTTGGGATGTACGTAGGAGTGTCTGTCCCTTTGTCTGAGATATATGAAAGTATACAGTGGTGCCTCGCACAACGATCTATGCTATTTGGGATGTAAGAATGTCTGTCCCTTTGTCTGAGATATATGACAGTATATACATTTTCAGATGCGTAAAGTTTTAAGTTGTTTTAAACAAATTTACAGTAACTATTCACTGTTTAGCAGTTGTAATTTGATGCATTTATCGCAAACCTTACACACTGCTCATCTGTCAAAATGATAGTACCCAAGCTTCCACTTTATAACCCCTATACAGTGGTGCCTCGCATAGCAACGTTAATCTGTTTAGCAAAAATCGCTGCTAAGCGATTGTCGCTATGCAATTTTAAAAATCCCATAGAAACGCATTAAAACCTGTTTAATGCGTTCCTATGGGCTTAAAACTCACCTTAAAGCGAAGATCCTCCATACGGCGGCCATTTTCGCTGCCTCTTATGCGAGGAATCTGTCCCTAAACACAGCGGGCAGCCATTTTTTTACCCAGCGGCCATTTTGGAACCGCCAATCAGCTGTTTAAAAATCATCGCTTTGCGATGATCGGATATATGACAGTATATACATTTTCAGATGCGTAAAGTTTTAAGTTGTTTTAAACAAATTTACAGTAACTATTCACTGTTTAGCAGTTGTAATTTGATGCATTTATCGCAAACCTTACACACTGCTCATCTGTCAAAATGATAGTACCCAAGCTTCCATTTTATAACCCCTGTATTACTGAACACATTAGCATAGTCTGCTCTAACCTGGTCCTTTAGCTAAAGGAAAGCGATGATCGGTAAGCGAAACAGGGAACCGATCATCGCAAAGCGAAAAAAACGCATAGGAAACATTGCAATGCGATCGCTTTTGCGATCACAAAAAGTTCATCGCTATGCAGTTTCATCGCTAAATGGAGCGCCCATTAAGCGAGGCACCACTGTATTACTGAACACATTAGCATAGTCTTCTCTAACCTGGTCCTTTAGCTAAAGGAAAGCTGTTAGTGTGTACTTAAGACATGCAAAATGATGATGCGGTTAAATGCCTATCAAAAGCTTATACAGCAAACAATATAAATACATAAGCATTACTGCTACAATGTTTCTAGGCTGAATAAGTGTTGGGTGCTTCCTAGCCACGCCTCCTCCAATAGGTGCCCACTCAGAGGCAGCACCTGGAGGAGGCAGAACAGGGAAGGCAGGTCGCTGCCTCTGAGTGGGCGGCTGCTGGAGGAGGCAGAACTGGGAAGCGCTGAATACCTCTTTGGCCAAGAAATGATCCATGGAACTGGCAGTTTGTGCCCATCTCTATTCAAGATCCATATGTGACTTCATAGATGACTACTCAAAGAACTACAGTTATAACTTACAGGCAAGCCAACTGTCCTTCTCCATCTTACTTGTGGAGGTACCACTTGGGTAAGAAATCTGCCAAAAAATAATGAGTGCAGATGGCCACTTTTTTCTTCTTCCAGCTGTTGTGGTCAGTCCTTCTAAAGAAGCATTTGGTGCTGTTCAGCTGATTGTTCTGGCCATTTAATAGGTGCCTGTCTCTCCAGTGGAGTATGTAGGTGTGTAATATTTCTTGTATGTGCAGGACATTTCTTCGAAAGTCAATCTGCATATGGAAAACTTATCTTCACAAACTGATTACACTTATTGAATTAAGTATAATTGTGTTATTACTGTAGCGGATTGTTAGAAATAGAAAAAATTAATAGTAGCATTATTTATGTATTTATTTGTTTGCTGTATAGATATGCTGCTTAGAGGTTGCACTAAAATTAGTGGCAGTAGCTTTCCTTTTCTTTTCCTTTCCTTTCATGCATTAATAACCTGCCTTTCTTCCTTACAGGATCCGAGGTGGCCTGAAACATACATTTTAAAAAGAGACACACATTTCGCTTACCGATCTTCGCATTGTGATGAGGGAACAGCTGTTCGGTGGTTCTAAAATGGCCGCCGGAACACCCCAAATGGCCGCCGGAACACCCAAAATGGCCGCGGCCTGATGGGGAAACATCGCAGAACGGTGAGTTTTGGGCCCATTTGGAACACATTAAACGAAGTTTAATGCATTCCAATGGGCTTTTCCGTTCCGTTTAGCGATGTTTCCCCATAGCGAAGGTTAATCCGGAACGGATTAACATCGCTATGCGGGGCACCACTGTATTTGTTTGCTGCATAGATATGCTGCTTAGAGGTTGCACTAAAATTAGTGGCAGTAGCTTTCCTTTCCTTTTCCTTTCCTTTCATACATTAATAACCTGCCTTTCTTCCTTGCAGGATCCGAGGTGGCCTGAAACATACATTTTAAAAAGAGACACAGCTAGAGCCATAATGCATTACACTATTAAAATAATATTAACCAGGTTGTCGCATTAAAAAACAGTGAATTCACTCAATTTTCAGATAATTTAAAGATAGTAACAACAACAAGAATAGCATTCACCAGTAAAAAGGGTCTTTCTCAGTCAGGTTTAGGCCCGTTTGAATAAAAATGACTTTGCCTGCCAGTGGAGGAACAGTAGGGAGGGTACTAACCTGCACTCCTCTAGAAGGGGAAAATGGAAAATTTCTCTCTCTCTTGTGTCTTCACAAAATGTGCCTGTAAAGCCAGTTGAATAGAAAGTATCCCTGGAAGATCCAGAGACCTGAAGAGGCTCATATGTGGAGGTAGGTAGGGTCGTTTGGGTAACCGGTACAGCACCCCACATTAAAATTCAGTTGTCCAGTTCAGTTATTAAAAGCCTACCTAAAATGGAAGCATTCCGCAACACTTGCATCGTTGCTGGCTGTGTTTGTGAAGATGATAGCACTGAGAGAAGGGCCTTTCCTAAAGATCTTATCAAGCCAGGGGTCCTCCAATACTACCTTCTGTGATCTCCTTTCCAGGAAGGATGGGAGCCCATGTGATACAAGCCCCATCCCAGAGAGAAAGAGTGAAAGGATACCACAATAGATGAGAGGTCAAGCAGGAAGCCCTTGGGAGGTTGAACAGATTGAGCAGGAAGGTGTTTCCCCATGCAGGTTCTGATACAAATTATCTGAATTTGTGTGTATCCTATAACCAGACCTGAGGCCAACTTGAAATACAGTGGACCCTCTACTTAAGGAATTAATCCGTATTGGAACGGTGGCTGTAAGTCGAAAAGTCTGTAGGTCGAATCTCCATTGACCTACAATGCATTGAAAACTGATTAATCTCACAACTGGCAGTTTTTATTCTATTTTTGTTCCATTTTGGTTTTTTTCTGGTCTGTAGGTCGATTCTCTGGCTGCAAGTCGAATCTAAATTTTGCAGCCAGAGAAGTCTGTAACTCGAAAAGTCTGTAAGTCGAGCCGTCTGTAAGTCGAGGGTCCACTGTAGATGGAGATACTCCCATCTTATGCAGAAAGCCTTGGAGCTGAAGAAGTCACCATGTATTCCAATGCTGTTTTGGAAAGAAAAGTTTTGTGTTTTATGCTCCCTTTCCAGCTTGGCATTTTTATTTCTCCTGGACAACTTTGTGCTGGCTGGATAGCTCAATAGTTTAGGTATCTGACTATGGAGGCATAGGTTGGGAGTTGGATTCCTCTCTGTGCAAGAAGAGCTAGCCTGTGTAGTCTTGGGCAAGCTGCACAGTCCCAGAATACCCCCAGAAGAAGGGGGTATTCTGGGACTGTGAAAAAAGAACCATTTCTGTGTATTCTCTACCTAGGAAACCCTGGAAAATAGTCCCAGAATACCCCCAGAAGAAGGGGTATTCTGGGACTGTGAAAAAAAAAAACATTTCTGGGTATTCTCTACCTAGGAAACCCTGGAAACGGTCACTGTAAGTTAGAATCGATTGGATGCCATTGGAAGTTGGAGTCAGTAGTTATAATTGTACCACTTTGTACAGTTATATCTTTGCTATATGGCTACAAAATTCTTCAGTATTTCTGTGATTGTGATAAAATAAGTAAGTAAAACATATGCAGTATAAGTAAAATGAAAGCACACATATATCTGTAAATAAATAAATATAAATGTCCACAAATCTTTTTGGTGTTCATAAAGGTGGAGTAACTTTTTGTGGCTAATTGTAGTAATTGACAAGGTTCCAGGGAGCTGGTCATGTGGCCAGCTGTACAGCTGAAATACATAAATACACCTCCATAAGTAGCTGCAATTGGCTGTAAAAAGCTGCACAAACCTTACATGAATACTGATAAAATTCCAGCCAATATATATAAGCAAACAAAGTGAATTTTATTTGCATAGCTGCTTTTTGTTTTTAGTTGCAACAATTCTTTTTTAAAACTATATGCCAGTGCTACTCTTACTATATTCAAAAAGAGTTTTTTAAAGAAATTTCAACAGCAAGCTTTTCATGTGTGCCTAAAATAACAATGTAAGAAAGCTGATTATATTCTTACCATGGATTATATTTCCAATTTCCATTTTTTTTTCTAGCCAGAGTTCTTACAAGAAGCCAACTTAGTAATGGCCAAACTAAATTATGTAGAAGGTGATTACAAAGAAGCCCTTAATATATATGCAAGAGTGGGCACTGATGACTTACAGCTTGTTGCTGTCCCTCCTTATCGGCTGAGAATGATTGCTGAAGCATATTCTACCAAAGGTAAGATAGCTTTCAGTATATTTGTGATTTGTCCCTTCCCTTTTTAGAAAAAAAACCCACAGAATTTTATTGGCAATTTACCGTATTTTTCGCTCCATAAGACGCACCTTTCCATAAGACGCACCAATTTTTTAGGACAGAATTTTATTGGCAATTTATGCTTGCATAAGGAAATAGGATAAGTTGTGGCAGCAAATTGCAACTCATTAATAAGTTGCTGGTGGCTTTTCAGAGAGTACATGCAGTGGTTCGGTTGGATACACAGACAGAAATGCAGCCAGCACCTTATTAATGGGTAGCACTTTGCCATTGAAATTTACACCGTTTCTGTAATACAAGTGCAAACTGTGAATAGGGCACTGGCCAATATATTTTGCATTTGACCAGAAAGCAACCTTGTCATATTAAATTCTGTTAATATTTTGGCAGTGTATGAGGTAGCATATTACTATCAAGAAATTAGATAAAAGATTTTTATGAAATTAGAATAGTATGTGTACAAACTGCCTATATATATCTGCACTGCCTTTTTCAACCTTCATTTTCTCTATTCAGTTCACTCAAAAGGCATCATGTTTCATTGTGACAGTAAAGCCAGCTCTAACCATCCTCTGCTTGAGTGAACAGTGTAATAGAGGAGCCAGAAATTCACGTGGTATCATCTTTTTTTTCTTGAACTGGAAAGTTGGAACTTGTGATGTTTTTCTTACCACAGAGGAGCCATAGTCTTATGTAACTTCAGGGCTCTGATGATTCATGGGAAAAGGTCACTTTTAAGATAGTGATTAATATGCCTTTGTACATTATGGAAGAACAGTATTCACAATTACATCATTGCAAATTAGTGTTTTTTTATTATTAACTTCTGATGGTTTATTTGGCCCTTATTTCTTATATTAGTTAGTTCCAGAAATAGGCATGGGTAGATTTCTTGCAGGAATAGATTGTCTGATCCAATTTTAATCTTACGATTTTGGGATATATGCCTGAATTTTCAGCATAAACCATTGAAATATAAGTGACACTTGCATATTTTCAGGGCTTCGTAAAAGCATTCTGTAAGGGAAGTTGTCAACCTCAGCTGACACAATTTTTAATGTATCTTAATATTTCAAACATTTTCTGCCTTTTTTTAGTAATAGCTTTGTTTACTTTCTAGATTTCTGGTTATAGTTGTAAAAGATAAGGAGAGGTTTCAGTCCTTGTGCAATGCTGATATAGTTTCTATAGATGGCAGTGTTGATTCAGTGTCAGCATGATTTCAGCACTGTGTGCATGCACAAAGCAAAGCTAGGCCAGTATTTTGAGAACACTGCTTTTCATGTCCATTGGGGTATAGCGTCTTGTATGCTTGGGTGCTTTTGCTAGCATTGGGTATTGTTTCGTTTGTCTGGAAGAGTAAACAAATGCCATCTATGCAGCTTGTTTTACTTTAGAAGGAGCAAACTTAGTGGCAGCATTGACATGTGCTTCTAAATAACCTCTGAAATTAATCTGAGGATGAATAATCTTTTGACAGTTGTGTCCCCTGCAGACTCCAGTTGAAGTGCTACTCATGTAGCAGGGAGGGAATTTTATTCTTTGGCAGGGTAGGAGGGAAAGGATTCTACATAGCCTTCCTCCAGTACTGTATAAACATATGACTCTCATTGGACAGGCTGATAATAAAATTAGTAGTGGTCCAGCACTCGAAGAGCAGGATGTAAGTCCATAGAACAACAACAACAACAACAAAACTACAAAGAACGACAATATTGGGAACAGCATAAGTACATATTGTGCCAATATTTAATAGATACTTAGGTTTAAGTTAAAACTTGTATCTGTTAAATAATACCAGTCCATGTTTTATAATCTTGATTGACTGTGTTTGGCAATTAAGAATAAGAATAAATATTATACTTTTTTTGACCAAGATGGTTTTCTATCATCTGTACAGTATTTATTTATTTATTTAATTTAGAAATTTATACACTGTCCATTGCTACTCTGGGCAGTGTAAAAACAAAACAAAAGAAGCACGTATTATAAAAGTACTCTAAAAACACTAAACTGTCACAAAAATAAATGGGAGTGGAAGCGTACTTTGCCTTATAATCATACCCCACCGCAGGTCAAAAGCCCTTGTAAGTTTGTACGTTGGCAGAAAGACATTCTTAGAGGGGGGAAATCTGCTCTTTCGTGCAAGGAACAAAATGCATTCAAATAGGTCATAGTCTCATTGACGCCAATCACCCTAACACAACTGGGCAAAACAGATGTAGGTTGCCGGGCGTGGAAATGCAGACGTCATGACAGTTTAGTGCTTGGCACTGATTTGATGTTACAAGGGCATTTTCTCCTGACTCCTTGGTTCGTGTGGAGAATTTTGCTGAATTATGTGTTTCTAGGAGCCCCCTGTGCCCTGTTTATGTGCTTGTATTTCAAGCCAGAAAATGAGTATCTGTTGTTGCCTTGTAAATACTAGTTGGGAAGAGATTCCCATGTGCTGCTGCTATGCTTGTCATCTCTACAGTGGGGGCTCGACTTACAAATGGTTCAACATACAAACTTCCCTCGAGTTACGAGTCCCTCAAATTATGAACAGAAAAAAAAGGCCCCCTCCCTCCCCTTAGAGGCTTCGGGGGGGAGGGAAAGGTCAGAAACTTAAAAATAAATAAAAGTCACTTACCAGGCCTTGGTAGCCTCCGACCTGCAGGAAAAAGAGCAGCAAACAGATAAAGAAGGGAGCCTGGCAGCCATTTTGTGCTTTTCTCTGCTCCTACCCCCTCCTCTCCCCATCTAACAGCTGATCGGCTGGCTCTGAAGAGGCTTGGGGAGGCTTGCTCAGCACCTAAAAAGCCTGCCTGTGTGTCTTTGTGCTGAAAAAATCAGCACAACATGTTTTAAAACATGCTTTAAAATTGGCTTCATTGAAAAAAAGATTTCAAAAGTGCTTTTAAAACTGTTCCCTGCCTCCCCCCTCCTTTCCTGATTAGTTTCGGACCTAAGAAAAAAAGAAAAAAAAATCCCCCTCTCATGGCAGAAGGCAGAATAGCAGCTTCCCATTAGTTTCCCATTAGTTTCTATGGATGGAAAAGAGCAGATACGGGTTAAATGGTTTTCAATGCATTCCTATGGGAAATGCAGATTTGACATACGAACTTTTCGACCTATGAACCGCCTTCCAATACAAATTAAGTTCGTAAGTCGAGACCCCACTGTACTTTTATATTTGAGTTGGAATTGTACCAAGCCTGGAGAAGTTACATTTTAAAGACTACAATTTCTAGAATCCCTGAACTGGTATAGCTAGTAGCTATACTGGTTGGAGGGTTCAAGGAGTCATAGGTTAAAAAGTCACACTTTCCAGGTGTGAGTCATACCATATTGGTACATTTGCCCATCTTTCTAGTAGTTTTAAAAGACTCTTCACTTTGATGTAGAGATGGAGATACTCATATTTGTAAATGAAAACGAATATCCCCGTCCCACCTGGACCTAATGAGGGTCTGGCCGGATATTCATAAATGAAAATGAATATCCCTGTCCCACCTGGACCTAATGAGGGTCTGGCCCCCAGGATCAGACCATCCACTTGTGTGTTTCGGCTCCGTGAAGGTCCAGCTCTTCCTACTAATGGCACCAGGGGCTCCACTGTTTCCTTCCTCGGCTGGCTACTCCAGGCAGGGGGTGGGAGGATGAATCTCCCTGAATGGCTGCTATGTGGCCAGCCAAGCAAGGTGATTGTGGATCTCTTGGTGCCACTGGTGAGAAAAACAGGACTTTTGTGGCACCAGGACATGTGAGGGGGTGGTACAGTCGCAAGGGCTGAACCCTTATTAGGTCCAGCTGGGACAGGGATATTTATATTTGTTTATGAATATGAATATCCCCATCTCTACTTTGTTGCTATACTCATTTTTTTTAATCCAAATACCATCAGAATAGTTTCATTCAGTTCCTTTCCTTTCAAATTTATTACTTATTCAGTTTGAATGCTGTTGTGATAAATTAAAATACTTATTTTTCTTCATGGTCTCTGTGAATTCAGACGAATGAGTTAAACTGCGCCTGCGCAAGACTCTTCAGAATATTCTATAGCTGAAGTGGGCTAAACCGCAGAAGCCTGTGCTGCAGGGTCAGAAGACCAGCAGTCGTAAGTTTGAATCCACGCGACGGAGTGAGCGCCCGTCGCTTGTCCCAGCTCCCGCCAACCTAGCGGTTCGAAAGCATGCAAATGCGAGTAGATAAATAGGTACCAACTTGGTGGGAAGGTAAACAGTGTCCGTGTCTAAATCACACTGGCCATGTGACCACGGAAGGATTGTCTTCGGACAAACACTGGCTCTATGACTTGAAGAGCGGGATGAGCGCAGCCCCCTAGAGTCGGACACGACTGGACAAAAATTGGGGAACCTTTACCTTTACCTTTAAACAACTGCCCAATAGAATGTTTCCCTGTGGTGCGCATGCTCTGCCCGCCTGTGATACCTCAGTTCATTTTTGCCGCTGCTGCAGTCGGACTCTTTTACAATGCCTAGAGCTGTTTTCAATTCTTTTAAGTCTTCTGGTTTTGATTCTGGTCTGGTTTCTTTACGTTTCTGATTTCTGGAGTATTTTGACTTGGACTGTCTCGATTTACGATTCTTGGATTTTGGATTGGCTACCATTGTTGTTTCTGGTTTTTCTGACCTTTGGACTGGTTACCATTTGCGATTTGGATTACGGACTTTGTCATGATAATTCTGGTCTCTTGTCTTCTTGGTTTTTTGATCCTAGACTGCAATTGTTAACGTTTTCCCATGAATTCTATCCTTTTTTTCCTTTACCCCTGTCCTTCCACCTGTTCCCGCCAAATTTTATGGCCTCCTCAGGCCCTTTCAAACACTGTACATCATGTGCCAACAAGATACCCTTCAAGGATGGCCACAACCGCTGTTTATTTGGGGGAAAGACACTAGACCCACTCCTATCTGGAGTGTAAAAAGTTAACCAAATCCGCCCTTAAGCTCTGCTGA